TTTTGCCCTCAGGTGCTTCGGATGAATAGGTAACTTGGGAAGAACAAATTCACTTTTCTTTACTGTCACAAATTCATTGGTTTTCCTATTCAAAACCCATGTACAGAGAAGTGAGGGCCAGTGGTAGAAACATCACCATCACAGGAGCTTCTTGCTGGCTATAAGGACTGACCCCAACATTCTTCTAGGGCTACAGAAAGCTCTCTGGTGCCTGGATCAGAAAGGATGCCGGGATTCAGGAACTCTGACCAGCTTTTCAACAGTGACAATGATTTACTCTTCCAAATATGTGTATTAGCTAAAAATGGATTAATCACACCCAGCTGGGTACATTTGAGTGTGTCTGCCAGAAGCTTTAATACAAATTAAAGTAAAACTCCATGCAGCCTAACATCTAAATCAGGGTGAGTTAGAAGTGAAGTTGTCACTGTGTGAAATTCATAATGCAAGGTGAATGATTGTAAAAAGAAACTGCCTCAAAGTCAGGAGGGTAAGAAAGCTGGAGTGAAAAGAATGCAGGAAGAAAGTGGAAGCTGGTGACAGGCAGGAAAGGACAGGTGACCAAGACTGTTAGCTAGCATAGGTGCAGAAGAGGAAGTGGGACTGGAAGTTGAGATGGGGACAACTAAGATTGCTTAAGCAAGAAAATGGATACAGTGGGTCTGACACCTGGGTGGTATACAGAGGTGAGGGTTAATTGATGTTAAGGCCAGAAGGGACAAATCTGTTCTCCAGAGACTGGGAGCCAGGGGATGGGAGAGACTGCAAGTGGATGAGCTTCTGGAGGGGAAAACAGACTGGGAATTTAAACTTGGGGCACAGAATAGGAACTGAGACTAGCTGGGCAAACAGATCAAGACGAAGAGTTGGGGAAAAGAGGGGACTGGAAGGGGATCCACAGAGGGAGACTGGGATTGGGACCCAGCAGGGAGAAAGAATGGTAGGAGATGGAGGATTCGAGAACTAGAGGAAGAGACAGACTAGACAAGAAGCTTGGAGCTGAGACTAGCTAGGCAAGGAGACTTGGACAGGGAGCTGGGGAAGAATGGGAGAGTCATGCTGGAGGAATGGAGCACACAGGTGACAAATTTGGTAAACAGGTAATAAAGCTGTACCTACCAGAGTACACTTCCCTATGAAATGACTAAGCCTCCCCAGTTGTCTGCTGTCCACAGACATACGTAGAATCCCTTGACAGAGTCACCTTGCTGTCTAGAGCTGAGCCACACAGAGGATGACAACCTATAACTGCTACTGGTTATATTCTTAGCTCCAGTGGATCCAAACATTCCAGCCACGATGTGGGTGTCAGTATGAGGCCATCTGATGGAATTTATTTTTACAGACTGTTTTTGAAAAATTAAGGAATTTACGCACAAAAAAGTGCGTAACGGAGACAAGTTTCGTTTTCTGACGCCCATGCTCCTCCCATGCCCTGCTCCAACCAGTCAAAAAAAAGGAGAGAACACAAAAGAGCATACAATTAAGATGATAAATGTATGGTAGAAAGAACTGGGCCAGCTGAACAAAGTGACATCTTCTGCACCAACTTACAGGTGTGGTGGAGTAAAGCGCATGCCTATGATGGAAAGGTGAGGAACTGGCAGGAGCCTGGAGAAGCCCGTAGCTCGTAGAAAGGAACCTAACAAAGCGCTATCCTGCTGAAAATCCTAGCACCAGGACAGCTAAAGCTTGCCCCAGGAAAAGGTCTGCAGCTCCGTTTTGGCATTCAAACTTGATATAATAAGGAATTAAAACCAACCCTGTCAGACTGGGGACAAAAAAAATAGAAAAGAAAAGAGACCTGTGGGGAGTAACTAAGAGAGGCTATGAGGAACAAAACTGGGGCCAGGGCAAAAACCTATCTGCTGCTCATACCAGTGAAACCTGCACACAGCTTGACTCAAGACCCAAAAAGAGGATGTTTCTTGAAGTAAGGCTTCAAACAGAGGCCCGCTGGGGTGGCAGGTAAAGAAGATACCCTGTGTGTTAACCTGGCAGTAGCCAACCATCTAATTTTGCAAGAGAGGAAGGGTTGGGTTGGGGGCAGGCAGGGAATGCAGAGACCCTCACAGGACAGGACAGTGCTGCTGGCCAGATTTTCCCGGACTCTGCTCTGTTCTCTCCACTGCCTTGGACTTGTGGGAGAGCAGGACAGTCAGGCAGACACCCCTGTGCCATCCCAGCTTCCAGCCTGCTCCTGGGCAGGGACGGGCACGGTACCTTGCGCAGCCCACTGAAGGGGATGTTGAGAGGCAGGGAGAACAGGTTGTCCACCAGCTGCTCGAAGGTTTGGGCCAGGTCCTTGAGCTGCCCCTCCTCCAGATTCAGCCCCAGCAGGATCCGAGCTGCAATGCGGAAAGTCAAGCTTTTGGCGGAGGCGTAGACCGCGATGGAACCGGGTTCGCGGCACCAGCCCCGCAGCTCGCAACTCACGGCCTGCTGGATCCGCGGCAGGTAGCTCTCCAGGGCGGCGCGGCTGAACACTCGGGCCAGGATCTGCGGGAGGGCGGACAGTCAGCGCCGGGCGCGGGGGCCGGAGGCGCCCGGGCAGCCGCGCTTTGGCAGCCACTGGCCCGGCCCCCGCCCGGGCGCGGCGCTCACCTTCCTCCCGGTGCGGGGCC